CACTCCCCATCACAGCTGATGATCTCCTATCACTCTTCACTGAGAAATGGGAATGAATGGAGAACTCCCTTTTTTCCCAACCACCTGGCCTACACATAAACCTATGTGTACCCAGAGTACCCATTTTCTCCTTTCCTCCTCTTAGTATGGAAAAATATTTCCCTTCCTTCCTGTTTATATTAAGAAAGAAAACTGGTTTCCTCCACTCTGCCTTTCTCAAGGACGTTTCTTCCTCATTACTCCTTTTCTCTCCTCCATCATCAGTCCTTCCCTCTTTAATGTTCATTCTCACCAACACACAAATATACTCTATCATTCCGCACCTTCACAAAAGTCTCCAATGCTGCATCCCTCTCTATCTAGAGCCTCATCTGTAATACAACCTTTCCGAAGTCTGCACACACTGCTTCTATCGCTTCACCTACAAACTACACTTCAGTTTGCTCCAATCTGGCTCATTATATTACTTTACCAAAATTACCCTTCAATCTATCATCGGTAGTTTTCTGGCCATATATTGGTTCTTTCAATCATATTTGGCATACTTGACCGCACTGACCTCTGTGAAACACTCTTTTGCTTACTTTCATGACATCATAGCTGCCTGTATTTTTTTCTGTATCTGTGTCTTCTGCTTCTCATACAGTTCTATTGGCTTCTGCTTTTGGGGAAGACATACAAACACTGAAGTGCCACAGGACCTTGTCATGGGCTCCCTTTTCTTCCTTTCCCTCCTTTCTTTTCCTGTCTCATCTACTCTCTTCACTTCCTCGATGTACTCCCATGGCATAAATACCATCTCTCCAGTGATGCCTCCAGGTGGATCCCCATCTCAGAGCCCTCTCCATGGAGGTCCAGGATCTTACATCCAACTGTGAAATTGACATCTCCACCAGCATGTCTCATTGTAATCTTAAATTTAGTATGTCTAAAACAAAACTCTTAATTCTCTTCTGTACCCAACTGCCAGCTGGTTCTGTTTCTCTATGTCCCCAATTCAAGAAACGGCATTATCATCCACCTAGCTGCTTATACCAGACCTCCTGAGTCATCCTTGATTCCTCCCTTTCTCTCTTCTCTGTATCCCATCCATCAGCAAGTTCTATCAGGTTTACTTCCAATCTAGATCTCAAATGGGCCCATTTCTCACCATGATCACTGCCATCCTGTAGTTTAAGCTGCCACGATCTCTTACCTGGCCTGGTGCAAAAGCTTTGAACTTGTCTCTCTGCTCTGCCTCTTGCCCCTTCCACCCCATAATTCATTCTTCATGCATCAGTGAAAATGAACTTACAAAAGCATAAATCAGGTCAGATCCTTCCCCTGCTTAAATGCTGTCCTTTGATTTCCTATCATACTTAGAATAAAATCCAAATGCTTTGAATGGCCTCCAAGGCTTTCCACAATGTGATCTCTGCCCCACTTCATCCTCACCTAGTTATGATCACCATCTTCTCAATATGCTGTATCCACAAAGGTCTCATTGCTGGTCCTTGAACATGGGAAGCTCTTTCTCTCTGTATGGCCTTTGTACCTCCTTACACATGGACCTGGATTATTTGCTGTTTGCCTGGGTCTTTTTATAAGAGACTCCCTTCTCGTCCTATAGAGATGCCTTTTCTGTTCATCCTCATGCTCCCAGCTATCTCACATCACCTTGCTTACCTCCTTCATGGCATTGCTCACACTCTGAAACACAGAAACTTACCTGTTGTCTATTGTCTGTCTCCTGAGAATAAGAAACTTATCTCTCTTGCTCACCCCGATATTCTCAGCACCAAGCAAAGCCCCTGGCTGTGAATTAGCAGTGTTATACATTAGGTAGATATGACAGAATCTGGTGAGTTATCCTGTATGTAAAGCAGAGTGATGGAGAAAGGAGGAATTTCATTAAGGATGAGAGTGTAGAACCCAAAGAATTTGAATACACATTTCAGTGAGAAGAGACAAAAGAGAAAGTACGAGCTTTGGGTTGGGGAGGTGGATAAGGTGCTGGTTTTATGATGAGTTTGAAATGCCTATGGGACTTTCAGCTTTAGATGGAGATGTAGGCCTGTAGCCTGGCAAACAAGTTAAGGCTAGAAATAAAGATTTGGAAAACACTGGCTTGGTCTATTTTGCATGGCTATCACAGGAGACTGCAGACTGAGTAATTTATAAGGAACAGACATTTATTATTAGCTCACAGTTCTAGGGACTGGGAAGTCTAATATCAAGGTGCAGGCAGGATTGGTGACTCTGATTTCAAGATGGTGCCTTGAACACTGTGCCCACTGGAGGGGAGAAGGCTTCACCTTCACATGGCAAGGGGGTAAAGAGACAAAAGGGGACAAATTCACCTTTTTATAACATCATGAATCCTACTTAGGAGGACAGAGCCCTCATGGCCTTATCACCTCTTAAAGGCCCCACCTCTTAAGTACTGCATTTAAATTTCAACATGAGTTTTGAGATGACAAACATTCAACCATAGCAACACATTTGCTAAAAATGGTAATGAAAGCACCAGGAAAGCATTGGATGAAATGATTGTGGTGGGTCAGACAGTGAGAAGGCAGAAGAGAGAGTAAGTATCAGGTAGTACTTATAGTGAAGAACAAGAAAGGGGAGGGGCCTGTGAAGACTGGGGCAACAGGGAGCCAGGAGGATGAAGTGTCACTGAAGCATAGAAAATGTGAGATTTTAAGAAAATGTGATGCAGATTGAGTATCCCCCATCTGAAATGCTTGGGACCAGAAGTGTTGCAGATTTTGAGGTTTTTTGGACTTTAGAATATCTGCCTTATATTTACCAGTTGATCATACCAAATTTAAAAATCCAAAATCTGAAATGCTCTCATGAGTATTTTCTTTGAGCATCATGTTGGTGATCAAAAAGTTTTGGATTTTGGAGCATTTGGATTTCAGATTTCAGATGTTTGGATTATGGGATGCTTAACCTGTGAACAAATTCAGTTCCGTCCAACAAATACTTCTTGTGCCGTCTCTCTGTGCCAGGCTACATACTTGTTATGGAACTACAAATATAAATAAGCTCTCATCCTTTTTAGGGGGCTGAAGGAGGAGTTATAGTCTGTTAGGGGAAATAGATATGTGAAAATATTTATGTAAATAAAAATATGTATTCATACAAAACAGCACTACGTACTTTATAAGAGTACAACCATATACAAAGATAATATGTCAGATGTGTTAGTGAAGCTTCTTGTTGGGGAGAACAGGAAGTGGAAAATGGAGATAAAAAGAAATCAGTGCATAAACAAAGCAAAATGGGGGTCTCAACCAAGCAAGGCTGTAACAGTGCCATGAATTGAAGCTTCCGATGATCCAACCATCTGCCCGCCCTGGTAGATGCTTGCAGCTTTTTTCTTTAATATCAAAATGTTTCAGTTTTACTATAAAGTGTCAAAAATTTATGGTAAAATCTTCCAATGGCAGAGAAGGTATAAATAAGAAAGCACACCTCATTTGGGATCCAACCTCCCAGAAATAACCTATGCTAATATTTTTGCTGTCATTCTTTCTTACAGTCCTTTCTGTGTGTATACATGCATGTACATTTTGGCATTACGGTTATGGCTAATGGTTTTGTTTCAAACCACCTAGGAGTAGTTCCTCTTTTTATGAGAAGAGCAACTTGCACATCTCCTCTTAGATAACGGATGGAACGCTAATGTTCACCTGTCCTTTGTTGTAGGAGAAAAGCATAACAGAACATGTTTTGGTTTCAAAAGAGCCTAAAGCTTAGACACTAGGGTGGGTGAAATTAAACAGTGAACTCCCCCAGTGTCCTTTTGCCTCCAATAATTTACAAAGAAGTCAAAGAGCCTTTCAGAAAAAGGGGATCAACACTCCCTCCACTTGAAGTCCAAGGTTATTAGCACATGTTTAAGAGACTGATGGAAGCGCAGGTGACAGAGAAAGAAGGAAGAGCAGTGTCCTGGCCAGACCCACTGATGGCATTTGGGAAGGGCTGGAACCCTCACTACCCCTGTTCCCTGGACTAGAATCACATGTTGGGGAAAGGTTGTATGTGAGTGTACACTAAAAATATTGTGTCCAAAGAGTTTTGACACTGGAGCCCAGGTCTGCTTAGCATGAAGTGCATGCAGCTGAGCCGAACTCTGGGAAAGACTTATCACCTCCTGTCCATCCCAGATAAACTGCAGCCAGCATGAAAATAGCTGTCAACCTGGGTTAATTCTGTGCTTCTTGTGGTGAGCAAGGATTTGGCTACTGAGTGCTTCCTGCAGTGTGTAGTCCCTGAGAAAGTATTCATAGACCTTCTTCTGATGCAAAGGCACTGAGTGATGGTGACAGCAACTATAGCTGCAGGATTGGACATTTGGGACATTCACCAAACTGTCCACTTTCATTGTCTCTTCCTTAGGCAAGAAAATAGTACCACTCAATAAGAATCTACCTTTGGGACTTTTGAAGGGAGTCACCTGGGAAGAAGGATGAATTGCTAAGACTAAGGAAGTGAGAGCTTAAAGCCATTTATTTTTTATTATATTACAAAGCCATAGTAGTCAAAACAGTATGATATTGGTACAGACCACGTAGACCAGTGGAGCAGAATAGAGAGCCCAGAAACAAATCCAAACGTATAATACCATCAACTAATTTTTGACAAGAGCACCAAGAGAGCACAACGGGGAAAATAGTCTCTTTAATTAATAGTGCTGGAAAACTGGATTGACACATGCAAATGAATGGAATTAGAACCCTTACCTTATACACAAAAATCAGCTCAAAATGGGGAAAAGACCTACCTGTAAGACCAGAAACTATAAAACTCCTAGGAGAAAGAAAACCGTGGAAAATCTGGACATTGGCTGTGGCAATGATTTTTTGGATATTACACCAGAAGCTTAGGCCACAAAAGCAAAAATAATGGAACAACATCAAACTAAACATCTTCTGCACAGCTAAGGACACAATTGACGAAATGGCAGCCTACAGATTAGGAAAAAATATTTGTAAAACATGTATTGATCCTGCTTCGCGCAGGAGGCAGCCGTGGCTCGCGTGGAACTGCAGAAGGCGCAGGCGCTGCAGGAGGAGTGCGGCTACCTGCGGCGCCACCACCAGGAGGAGGTGGGCGAGCTGCTCGGCCAGATCCAGGGCTGCGGCGCCGCGCAGGCGCAGGTACAGGCCGAGGCACGCGACGCCCTCAAGTGCGACGTGACGTCGGCGCTGCGCGACATCGGCGCGCAGCTTGAAGGCCACGCGGTGCAGAGCACGCTGCAGTCCGAGGAGTGGTTCCGAGTGAGGCTGGACCGACTGTCAGAGGCAGCCAAGGTGAATACAGACGCCATGCGCTCAGCGCAGGAGGAGATAACTGAGTACCGGCGTCAGCTGCAGGCCAGAACTACAGAGCTGGAGGCACTGAAGAGCACCAAGGACTGCCGGAGAGGCAGCGCTCCGAGCTGGAGGACTGTCATCAGGCCGACATTGCCTCCTACCAGGAAGCCATTCAGCAGCTGGACGCTGAGCTGAGGAACACCAAGTGGGAGATGGCAGCCCAGCTGTGAGACTACCAGGACCTGCTCAATGTCATGATGGCTCTGGATATAGAGATAGCCACTTACAGAAAACTCCTGGAAGGTGAAGAGTGTCGGATTGGCTTTGGCCCAGTTCCTTTCTCACTTTCAGAAGGAGTCCCCAAAATTCCCTCCGTGTCCACTCACATAAAGGTCAAAAGTGAAGAGAAGATCAAGGTGGTAGAGAAGTCTGAGAAAGAAACTGTGATTATGGAGGAACAGACGGAGGAGACCCAAGTGACTGAAGAAGAGGAGAAAGAGGCCAAAGAGGAGGAGGGCAAGGAGGAAGAAGGGGCTGAAGAGGAGGAGGCAGAACGGGGAGAAGAAATAAAGTCTCCCCCAGCAGAAGAGGCCGCATCTCCAGCGAAGGAAGAGGCACAGTCACCAGTGGAGGCCAAGTCCCCAGAGAAAGAGGAAGCAAAATCTCCAGCTGAGGTCAAGTCCCCCGAGAAGTCCAAGTCCCCAGCAAAAGAAGAGGCAAAGTCACCAGTAGAGGCCAAGTCTCCAGAGAAGACCAAATCCCCAGCAAAGGAATAAGCAAAATCTCTAGCTGAGGTTAAGTCCCCTGAAAAGGCTAAGTCCTCAGTGAAGGAGGAAGCAAAGTCCCCTGAGAAGGCCAAGACTCTTGATGTGAAGTCTCCAGAAGCCAAGACCACAGCAAAGGAGGACGCAAAGTCCCCTGCAGACAAATCCCCCGAAAAGGCCAAAAGCCCCGTCAAGGAGGAGGTCAAGCACCCAGAGAAGGCAAAGTCTCCCCTGAAGGAGGATGCCAAGGCCCCTGAGAAGGAGATCCCAAAGAAGGAAGAGGTGAAGTCCCCAGTGAAGGAGGAGAAGCCCCAGGAGGTGAAAGTCAAAGAGCCCCCAAAGAAGGCAGAAGAAGAGAAAGCTCCCACCACACCAAAAACGGAGAAGGGCAGCAAGAAAGAGGAGGCACCCAAGAAGGAGTCTGCAAAGCCTGAGGTGGAGAAGAAGGAACCTGCTGTTGAAAAGCCCAAAGAATCCAAAGTTGAAGCCAAAAAGGAAGAGGCTGAAGATAAGAAAAAGGCAGCCACCCCAGAGAAGGAGGCTCCTGCCAAGGCAGCAGTGAAGGAAGACGCTAAACCCAAGGAGAAGACAGAGGTGGCCAAGAAGGAACCAGATGATGCCAAGGCCAAGGAACCCAGCAAACCAGCAGAGAAGGAGGCAGCTGCGGCAGCACCGGAGAAAAAAGACAGCAAGGAGGAGAAGGCCACTGAGGCCAAGAAGCCTGACGAAAAACCTAAGACAGAGGCCAAAGCCAAGGAGGATGACAAGACCCTCTCAAAGGAGCCCAGCAAACTGAAGGCGGAAAAGGCTGAAAAATCCCCCAGCACAGACCAAAAAGACAGCAGGCCTCCAGAGAAGGCCACAGAAGACAAAGCCGCCAAGGGGAAGTAAGGCAGGGAGGAAGATAAATTTATCTACAATTTATAAAGAGCTCATACAGCCTAATAGTATAAAAACAAATAACCTGATTAAAAATAAGCAAAAACCCTGGATAGACATTTCTTCAAAGAAGACGTGAAAATGACCAACATGCATATAAAAAGGTGGTCAGCATCATTAACTTTCAGGAAAATGCAAATCAAAACCACTAAGAGATATCACCTCACATCTGTTAGGATAGTGGTTATCAAAAAGTGAAACAATAGTAAATTTGATGAAAGTGTGGAGAAAAGTGACTCGTATACATTAATGGTGGGAATGTAGATTGGTGCAGCCATGATGGGAAACAGTATGGAGTTTCATAAATAAATTAAATATAGAACGACCATATGACCTAGCAATCCGTCTTCTGGGTATATAACCAAAAGAGATGAAATCACCACCTTGTAAAGATATCTGCACACTCATGTTCACTGTAGCGTTATTCACAATAGCCATAGATATGGAAACAACCAAAGAATCTGTCAGTGAATGAATGAATAAAAAAATGTGGTATATACACACAATGAAATATTATTCAGTCCTAAAAAGGAATAAGATTTTGCCACTTGCTACAACCTGGAAGAGCCTGAAGGACATTATAGTAAATGAAATAAACCAGATACAGAAACAAAAATATTGCATGATCTCGTTTATATGATCTCATTATATCTATCTGCATATTTATATGTGGAGAGAGACAATAAAGCAGTGGTTACTGGAGCATTGGGGAGAGTAAATGGGGAGATGGAGGTCAGAGGACACAAAGTAGAAGATCTGGGATGAACAAGTCTAGAGATTTGATTGATAGCATGAGGACGGCTGGTAACAAAATTGTACTGCTTTTGGGATTCTTGCCAGGTGAGTAGATTCTAGCTGCTCTTGTCACACACATATGGGTAACTACGTGAACTGATGAATATATTAATTTGCTTCACTATATTAATTTTAAAAAGTCATTTACATGTGTTTCATAACATGTTGTATACCTTAAATATACACAATAAAATTTATTTAAAAAATTGAAATGTAACTTGATATTTACCTCAAATTGGTAAGGTAAAATAAAACTCTGTGTGTATTTGTGTGTGTCTGTATGTATGCATGTATGTGTATGTGTGCATATGTGTGTATGTGTATGTGTGCACGCATGCATGTATATGTGTGCATGTGTGTATGTGTGTATACATATATTGTGTATATATACACATAGTTGATTGCTAGGGTCACAGAGGAGATTAAGACAGACAGTCTATTTTCTGTACCCCAGAAGTTTATGTTTTAGTAGGACAATACATAAATGTGTGGTAAGGAATTTGGTGTCACCCAAAAAAAAGGTCTAGACTTTGTTTTGGCTCCTTGGAGGTAGCCTCTGGATCTTGGCATTTCCCGGTTTTAGGAATGTTTTTGTTATTTGTGGCAGGCCCCCCAGACCCCACATGGTAGTTTTTGCTCACCAGGGGGCTCAGGGTGGGCTGCTCAGGCCTTATGCTATCAACTTCACTCTTGAGACGGTAGAGTGGGAAAGCTGTGGCTTGAGTTTTGCCATGTGGACAGTGACTCAGTCAATCATGCCCATAGAATGAAGCCCCAGTGAAAACCCCGGACTCTAAAGCTGGGGTGGGCTTCCTGGGGCAGCAGTACTCCACGTGTGACATCACATACTATGGCTAGGAGCAACATCAGCCATGACTCCATGGGAAGGGAATGGCCAGAAGCTCCAGGGTGGGCCCTACCTATACTCCCCCTGTGTGTCGATTCCCTTGGCTGTTCTAGCTTGTATCCCTCCCCTGTAATAAACGTGACAATGAGTATAATTAATTTCAGTGAATTCTGTGACTCTTTCTAGTAAGTTATAGAATCTCAGAGTGGTTTTGGGAATCCTCCAACTTGCAGTTGGTATCACAAGTATTGGGCAAACTCAGTAACCTGAAGAATTGCTTCCTAGACCCTGCAGTTTGGCTAACTTCAGGTGATAGATAAACAAAAACTAAATAAATGGAAAAGCTATTAATGCTTTCAGATAGTGGTAAGTTCCTAAAGAAATTAAAACAGAATGTCATGAAAGAGAATGACAGGGGTGGGACTGTGTGGACTGGATTTTCGGGACCTGGAGCTGAATCTTCAATGACAGGCAATGTCTGCCAAACATCTGGGGATATAAATGGGTTTGCGAGGTGGAAACCAACTAGGTGTTTTCAAGAAACAGGAAAACAGTTCAACGTGGATGGAGTGCGTGAGGCAGAAACAAAGGAGGAGTCAGAGAGATAGACGGGGCCTGATTAGGGCTCTGTGGGCTGGGTCTGGCTTTTGTGTTTTGTTAAGTGCAATTGGAGATTCATTGGAGGATTTAGGCAGGTGAGTGGAATGACCTACTTATCCTTCTATATGCACATAGATAGTTTTGCATAAAAGGGACCATACTATCCATACTATTCTGTAGCTTGCTACTTTTACATACAGGAGTATGTAATATCCAACCACGTCTGTTTTGCATAAGACATGTAATGGCATACATTTACAGAGGGGGCTACGGGAGCATGGAGGGATGGGGTACTTCCAGACTTAGGGGGCCAAGCACGCTTTCCTGGAAGGCAATGCCTGAGCCAGGTCACAGAAAATGAGAGGTAGCTGGCCTAGTGAAGACAGCAGTGAAGGGAATCTCAGGCAGTGGGGTACCTAGTATAGGTACAGGGGCAGAAACGGAGGAGAGGGCATGGGAGGTGGTCACCTGTGTGGAATGCTGTAGAAAGATTATTAAAAGGGGTGATCAGCAACCTTTAAAAGATCAGCTTCAGGAGAGTTGGAAGGATGTGACTTAAACAGGCATTGTTGGGTAGCAGGGACAGAAACCACTCAAAAGAAGACAGCTGCTTATTTTAGAGATACTACAGACAGTCTAATGGTTATCCAAGAACAGAATATATTGGGATTGGAACCGGGCAGTCAGCAAGTAAAACCACTCCCTCTTTTCCATAGTGAGAATCTGATTGGATGAGCCCACTTCACCACTGAACATGTCCACTCTACTCTTGTCAGCTTGGGCAGGTTAGCAATTTCCAAGAAAGGAATAGGGTTGGGCAGGTTTCCCAAGTATGTTTTCTACAGCTGTTCTTTTAAATGAATTAAATTAATTTATTTTTTAAAAAATTTTTTATTATTTTTTTTAAGACGGGGTTTCACCATGTTTGTCAGGCTGGTCTTGAACTCCCGACTTTAGGTGATCCACCCACCTTGGCCTCCAAAGTGCTTGGATTACAGGCGTGAGCCAACATGCCCGGCCTACAGCTGTTCTAACGATGAAGAGTGCAGACTCTACAGCCAGAGTGCTTGCCAATCTACCACCTGCCACCTATGTGATCTTGGGCTGATAACTTAACCACCCTGTGCTCAGTTTCCTGTACTGAAAAATGAAGATGCTAATGATAGTGTCTACCAGGCAATATTATTGTGAATATTAAATGAGTTCATATATAATATGTAAGCATTTAGAATAATACCAGACGGAGAGAAAAGTGTTATCTATTATTTTTGTTAGGGCCTGATGAAAAAATGAGACAACTTGGGAAAAAGCGTGAAGAAGTTTGACAGTGAAGGAAAGGAGAGAAATGCCATAATAGGTTCATAGAAAATCATTAGGGGTGTGGGGGATGTATCAGGACACAGGAAATATGAATGGCTTTATCTGTTTAGGGTGCAATGCCAGGAATGGTGCCACATGTGTGAGAGAGAATGAAACTGACAGGGCCCATCAACAACAGAATCAGAGAAGGAGCGAAGGTGGGTGGGGATGCAGAGGGGCATTGGAGGGGAGAAAATTAGAATCTGCGGCCCCTGCTTACTGCCATGAAGGAGCTGGCAGAGCCTGCCGCCAAGAATGAAGGTCAAAAGCATGTTTGAGGGATTAAGGGAATCAGGAAAGCTTCAGAATAATTTAGATGCCCCTCCTCCATGAAATTACAGAAACAAAATCTCGGTGGCATAATGTGTTCCTCTCTTCTTAGTGCCCCAACAACATACTCCAATGCACACCTCTCTTACAGCTGCAGGCACATTTTAGTGTTAAGATTTGTCTATCTGACCCACCTTCCTGAATGCTATCTCTATGAGGTCACAGACCTTAGTGGGGTGCAGTAGATTTCCCTTAGCTCTAAGTGTGAGTTAGAAAAAGGGCGGTCTCTGGATGAAGGCAACTCAGAAGAAGGGGTACCTTTTCCTAATTTGCACAAAAGTGCTGTCTGCTTGCCATGCTCCTCTTCTGTGAAATTAAAAAAAAAAAAATCATAGGCAAACAGTGCCTTGGGCCAGATTCAAGGACTGGTGAGTGAATTTCATCCCTTTCTTTTCTTTGGCTGGGAGCCCTTCTCTGTGCATGATCTGCACGACCCGGCTCTGGTCCTGGATACTTCCATCTCCCCAGTGTGTTGCACAGTACCTGGTACAGAGTAGATGCTCAAAAGAACTGTTGAATAAATAAATTATGTTGATGAGGTGAATTATGTATAGAACCTACCAGGAATGGGAAGAAAGAATCATTAATTGGTGGGGACAGTCTAAGCATTGAAAACATATTTATTGAATGAACGGGCATGTATAAAAATAACACTGAGCCAGTTGCAATGGTTCACACCTGTAATCTCAGCACTTTGGGAGGCCAAGATGGGCAGATCACCTGAGGTCATGAGTTCGAGACCGGCCTGACCAACATGGAGAAACCTCATCTCCACTAAAAATACAAAATTAGCTGGGTGTGGTGGTGCATGCCTGTAATCCCAGCAACTCAGGAGGCTGAGGCAGGAGAATCACTTGAAGCTGGAGGGCGGGGCTTTGGTGAGCCGAGATCGTGCCATTGCACTCCAGACTGAGCAACAAGAGTGAAACTCCTTCTCAAAAAAAAAAAAAAAAAAAAAAAAGACATTGAGCACTCCATCGAGGTTAGGAAGAATGTATGTGACTTCCACTCAAGGCTTCCTGTTTTTGGATTTCCATGAG